AGGGTCCAGAATAAACAAGAAAGACATTCCTGGCACTAAAATAACATTTCCTCTGTTCATTAGTCACATCCCCACACCCCTCTTACATTTCTTTTGCTTTCCACTTTGAATTTTTATTCTCACAAAAAATAGAAGATTTACTGTTATGCAGACTACTGTATTAGTGTAGAAATGGTATAAATAATGCCAGCGCACTTGTGAAAGAGTATTAAATTCACCAGTTGACATGTATTGGACGCATGGCATGATTTGTTTACTTTTGAACTTTGGCAAAAATCAAACATTTCTGCTACTTTGAGCTCAATTTGAAGGTACTTTTCATTGTGAAACCAATCAAAATCATCTCAATTTCTGTAATATGTCTTCCATTCTATAAAATAAGACCAGGAAAACTAGAATACAACCATAAATACCATACGAAAATACAGTGCAAAGTCGCTATTTTAAACCAAAAACACGGTCAGTTTTTTTTTCTCATTACGCACTGTGTGCTGAAAGATTTTTTTTTATACTGCGCCCATTGACCACATACAGTGGACCCTCAGCTAACGATGGCATCACCTAACGTTAAATCCGGCTAGCGATACATTTTAACGCAAAAATTTTGCCTCGGCTAGCTCTAAAAAACTCGACCAACACGATTCATTCGAGACACGTCCACGTGCAGCCTGAGCATGCCTCACTTGTCCCGTGGGTGCCAGTGTTTACAAGCCAGCCACCGTGGTCGCATCCAAGCATACAATCGGAACATTTCATATTATCACAGCGTTTTTAGTGATTGTACCTGCAAAATAAGTCACCATGGGCCCCAAGAAAGCTTCTAGTGCCAACCCTACAGGAAAAAGGGTGAGAATTACTGTGGATATGAAGAAAGAGATAATTGCCAAGTACAAAAGTGGAGTGCGTGTCTCCGAGCTGGCCAGGTTGTATACAAAACCCCAATCAACCGTCGCTATTATTGTGGCCAAGAAAACAGCAATCAAGGAAGCTGTTCTCGCCAAAGGTGCAACTTTGTTTTTGAATAAGAGATCACATGTGATAGAAGATGTTGAGAGACTGTTATTGGTGTGGATAAACGAAAAACAGATATCAGGAGATAGCATCTCTCAAGCGATCATATGTGAAAAGGCTAGGAAGTTGCACGAGGATTTAATTAGAAAAATGCCTGCAACCAGTGATGTGAGTGAATTTAAGGCCAGCAAAGGTTGGTTTGAGAGATTTAAGAATTGTAGTAGCATACATAGTGTGATAAGGCATGGTGAGGCTCCCAGTTTGGACCAAAAAGCGGCTGAAAAATATATGTATGAATTTAAGGAGTACACAGACAGTGAAGGACTGAAACCTGAATAAGTGTTTGTGACGAAACAGGCCTGTTTTGGAAGAAAATGCCAAATAGAACCTACATTACTCAGGAGGAAAAGGCACTCCCAGGGCATAAGCCTATGAAAGTCAGGCTTACTCTCTTGATGTGTGCTAATGCTAGTGGTGATTACAAAGTGAAGCCTTTATTGGTGTATCACTCAAACTCCCAGAGTGTTCAGGAGAAACAATGTCCTCAAGGCTAATTTGTGTGTGATGAGGGTAAACAGTAAGGCATGGGTCACTAGAGACCTTTTCTGTGACTGGTTACACCATGCATTTGCCCCCACTGTGAAAAATTACCTCCTGGAAAATAAATTGGACCTCAAGTGGCTCCTGGTCATCCTTCAGACATGGCAGAGCGACTTTCTGGGGGCATGAGCTTCATTAAGGTCAAGTTTTTGCATCCTAATACCACTCCTCTCCTGCAGCCCATGGACCAGCAGGTCATTGCAAGCTTCAAAAAACTCTACACAAAAGCTATGTTTGAAAGGTGCTTTGTAGTGATCACAAACTCAATTGACTAAGAGAGTTTTGGAGAGATCACTTTAGCATCCTCAATTGTGTAAACATTATAGGTAAGGCTTGGGAGGAAGTGGCTAAGATGACCTTGAACTCTGCTTGGAAGAAACTGTGGCCAGAATGTGTAGACAAAAGGGATTTTGAAGGATTTGAGGGTAACCCTGAGAAGTATGCCAGTTGTAGAATCAATTGTGGCATTGGGGAAGTCCTTGGGGGTTGGAGGTTAGTGGGGAGGATGTGGAGGAGGACAATGAACTAACCACTGATGAGCTGCAAGATCATCTTCAACAGCAAGAGGCCAGACCTGAGGAAACTGCTCCTGAGGGGAGGATAGAGAAATTGAGGAAGTTGCATACTTCAAAGAGGCTTGAAGTGCAAACCTTTTTTGATGAAAATCACCCTCACACAGCTACTGCAAGCCGTGCTGGTGACTATTACACTGACAATGTTATGATTTTCCTAAAGTGGGTCACAAAGGAACGGGAGGTACAGGCCTCTATGGACAGATACATTGTGCGACAGAGGTCCAATGACTCTCAAGCTGGTCCTAGTGGCATTAAAAGAAGGGAAGTAACCCCAGAAAAGGACGTTGCTACCTTGAGTCCTAATGGAAGGGGATTCCCCTTCTAAACATTAACAACATCCACACTCTCCCATCCCATCAATCATCACCAGATCTTCAATGAAGGCAAGTGTCAGTTTGTGTGTATTAAAATTAATATTTCATGTGGTAAAAAAAATTTTTTTTTTTCATACTTTGGGGTGTCAGGAACGGATTAATTTGATTTCCATCATTTATGGGGAAAATTAATTCACCTAATGATAATTTCAGCCAACGATGAGCTTTCAGGAACGAATTAATATCGTTAGCTCTAGACCCATTCTTTCATATGTAGGCCTACCAGCTTTCTCTTGCTAGATTTGAGGGCGCTAGAATTTATGCGTACTAGTACGTCAAAAACCCTGGTGCGTAAACCGTACTAGTACGGCCGAAACCCTGAAAGGGTTAAAAACTTTAACTGTCAGACATTTCCATGTTCAGGTTAATAATGTGCTCTCCTCAGACTTTGTCCAAGCTGATGGTGTCCCTCAGGGATGTGTTCTGAGCACAATACTTTTTCTCCTTGCTATAAATGATTTGGCCTCTAGTCTTCCATCCAATATTTGGTCATCACTATGTTGATGACCACTATAGCTTGTGCAGGCGCTGACTGTCACTTCATTACAGTTTCTCTCCAGCATCAGTCAATTATGTTTTCAGTTGGGCCACCACGCATGGGTTTAAATTTTCCAGTACCAAAACTCGCCAAATTGCTTTCACTAGACACTGTCATCTCCGATCATCCTTTGTACCTCTATGGCTTGCGTATCCCTGAACGTGATACAGTCAGGTTTCTAGGCCTTCTCTTTGACCGTAGGTTATCCTGGAAACCTTGCATTACCTCTCTGAAGGCAACTTGTCCCAACCGGCTGAACCTTCTTAAAACCCTTGCTCATCTTTCATGGGGAGCTGATCGTCGAACTCTCCTTCGTCTACATTCAGCTCCCATTTTATCGAAACTCGATTATGGTGATCAGATTTATTCAGCGGCTTCTACTATCTCGAGCCTTAATCCCATCCATCACCAGGGATTACGTTTGTGTCTTGGTGCTTTTCGCTCTTCCCCTGTTGAGAGCCTCTATGCAGAAGCGAATATTCCATCCTTGTCCGATCGCCGCGATGCCCATTGCCTTCACTACTATGTTCGCTCTCATGATCTCCGCAATCCTTCCATATATAGAATAGTCACCGATGTTAGTAGACATTGCTCCGTCCCTTTTCTCTTCGACTACATTCGCTCGTCTTCCCTTCAGTTACCACCTTTCTATGTTCATGTAGCATCTTGCTTTTCCCTGCTCCCCTTCCCCTGGGAAGTTCCAGCTGTTCAAGTCTGTTCTTTCTCGCTCCCTTGCGCGAAAGCCCAACTGCCTATAGTAGCTTCCCGCTCTCATTCTCATGCCATAGCAGTGTACACAGACTGCTCCAAGTCTTTTGATGGTGTCAGATTCGCAGCAGTGTTTCCGGACAGTGTCATGCGAGGACATTTACTATCCTTGGCTAGCATTTTTACAGCTGAATTGTATGCCATTCTTGCAGCACTTATCTGTATTGCATCTATGCCTGTGTCATCATTCGTGGTTGTATCAGACTCCCTTAGTGCTATACAGAAATTTGATACACCTTGCCCCCTAGCCCTCCATATCCAACTTTGGCTACGCCATATCTCTACCAAGCATAAAGATGTTTTTTGTTGGGGCCCTGGTCATATTGATGTACAGGTCGACACTGCTGCACAGTCAGCAGTACATGACCTACCAGTTTCGTATAGAGATGATCCATTTAAAGACTTTTGCTGTAATAGCTACCCACCTTCACACCCTTTGGGTCAAATTTATCGGTAACAAACTTCATTCTTTTAAACCGGTTAGGTTATGGGCCGTCGTTTGCATCAGTGTCGATTTGGGAGATCCCTTCTCCCATCTTGTATTGGCCCAAAATTGTTTTTATCTGGAAGGCCCCCTGTTGCTCTTGGACTGTCAGGTTCCATATCGGTTAGGCATTCTGTTAGCTCCCCTTTATCTGAGACCAGAAATTTATCCTCATCACCTTGCTTACTATCTTCACCTTCCCTTCTTGTGAGGGGGACCCTCCCTTTAAAACCCGACTCTCTCTTGACTTTTACAACAACCGACTTACTCCACAAAATTTGAGAGGTACCTTTACACGCCCTCAAACTCTTGCCTGCTAATTTTCCCCTTTTCCCCCCCCCGCTTCCTTCCCACCCTGCGTGTTGTATAGCCCTTGTGGTTTAGCACTTCTTTTTTATTATAAAATATTTTCAAAAGCCCAGCTGTTAAAGAAAAATCACCCTTTAAAAGTATTGGGACCTAACACATTAGGGTAAATGTATTCCACCCAAAAATCAAATCTCAAAAGAGGTTCCTGGGCACCAGTGAGAGGGCTCTTGATCCACGGAATTAAGACTTGGCCCAACCTGACTGCTTAGCATCCCTAGGTATTGTACTGCTTAAAGATGGTGTATGTACAGTACTTGTAAACATGGAGAGAAAAAAAAGAATTCTCATAGCACTTTATTTCTATCAACAAAACAGTTAAACATTTATTACAAGCCAACATTTTGACAACACAGTTAGCAATATCACTTAATATTGGCCCAATTTCAAGATAATGTATTACCAGTCCATAAGTTCTTAACAAACAATAATGAAAGAAAAAACTGAGTGTCCTCAAACATTGTGATGCAAGGTACTTTACATTGTTACAGCTATTACTATACAAACTATCTGAACCAAGGCCAAAAATATCCAGGACAGTAGAAAAATCAGATGGATAAACAGTAGCAAGAAAATGACGCTTGTCCCACTAACTGAATCAGGAACACTCATTTTCCTATAATTATAAATGCAAGATTTTTTTAATTGTAGCAAAGTATTTTAATTTAAATAGGTTTTACAATTAAAAAGTAATCATTTGCATGTGTTTTTTATCTCCAAGGATTCTAAGCATTTTGAAATTAAGAATGCCAATACAGTACCCCTGGAGGCATCTCAACACCAATGTACTGTAATGGTATTCCTATATCGGAAAAGGCAAAAAATTATATTTGCTGTATAATCTGTTCTCTGAAAAATAAATCTCATTACGTGTTGGAAATATTAACCACGAGCATTTATGATCTGGACAAAGTCTGGTTTAAGTGATGCTCCACCCACCAGGAACCCATCAATATCTCCCTTTTTGGCTAAATCCTGGCAATTTCCAGGGGTCACAGATCCTCCATAGATGATGCGGGTCGAGTCAGCAACCTCAGCATTGACATTTTCACGAAGCCACTGACGTAGCTTGGCATGAACTTCCTGGGCCTGGGAGGAAATGACATTATATGCACAAAAAATGAAGGATTTAAATTACAAATACAAGTAAAATTAAAAACATTAATTCCACACTTAAATCTGTCAGCTTAAAAAACCACTATGACCCTGGTGGGTTTAGATCTGTTCTGATTATAATCAAGGTAATTACAAAGTAAATTTTAATTTTTCTTTTTTTAAACACATTGGCCATGTCTTGCTGAGGCAGCATGACCCAAAAAAGAGAAGAAACTGCCATCATTAACTTCACTGTTTTGCCAGAGGCATACCTAAACTACAATTCAAAAAACTAACATATTTCCACCCCACCTTCAGTGTATGATGATCAAAACCAAGCACTAAACCCACTAGGGTCATACAGTGCTGCATCCTTCAGAGTGCAGACACTATTTCCCACCTTCAGGACCCAATCAATATGGTATGTACAACAAAAATTTCAAATAAATTTGCTAATTTTTTGTATTATAATCACAAAGTGCTAAATCCTTAATTTAGGCTGAAAAGTATATTATAATAAAAAAAAAAGCTAAACCTGCAAGGGTCTTAGACTAAAAAAAAAAAAAAAAAAAAAAACCATTAGATTTTATGAATGACAATAAGAGCCTCCACACTTGGTTTTAATATGCTTCTGTTTCTGTATGCAAGCATACATGTAACCAGTGTCTAGGTTCCCTTTCTGCAGACCAGTATTCTCTGGTCAATCAGTTGACCTTTGATCAATTGACAGAGGCCTTCCTACTGGGTCACCCATCTCATCAAGCTATTATTTGCAGTCTGCAAGCCCAGAGTTAGGACAATTAAACTGACCAAGCAGCACTTTTTTAATGCTTAATATCAGCAGGTGGGAGATTCTAAAAGAAAATACTGTACTGTAAGTGAAGAAACATGGAAAAAATTAATGCACTAAACCCCAATATGGATTTGGCAAGAGTCAAATCCCTAAGGATCATTCAGTATTGTACATCAGAAGTTATAGATTGTAGAGGAAAAAGAGGTCTTGTTAAGGGTAATGAGAGAAAATCAGTTTATTTAGCAAATCAAAGTGTCAGTCAACAGTAAAGGCCATCAGAGAGGATGGCCATAGTAAACATGTTATAGAATTTAAGGCAAGGAACAAGAAATCTTTTATAATACTGTAATTTAGTTATCTCAATCCAATAATAACAGTACTCACTTGTTCAGGAGTTGCAGTCTTTCCAGTGCCAATGGCCCACACAGGTTCATATGCAATGACAACACGGGACCAGTCGGAGATGTTTGGAACAAGGGCCTTCATCTGGGCAAAGACAACCTCTTCCGTGCGGTTGCTCTCACGTTCCTCAAGTTTCTCACCAATGCATGGGATCACCTAAATATACAATACAAAGTACAGTTCAGGTATAAATACTACAGCCTCTACTCACTTAGCTATGTACTCTTTTACTGACGACTTGGACTTACGATGGGATCTCTGACCAGTATTCATAACCTAAATAATGTATATTAAGAGCTGATTTCCTCTATTCTGTTTATTACAGTATACAGTGCACTACTGTATACACATTTAAAAAATATACAAAATATACCAGAAATGTTATAAATGGTACAAAGGTGACATTAAAACAATATCGAAGATGATCAACACAAACCCAGTACAATTACAGTATGCTCATTACTTAGTGGTGAATTCATTTACTGATGTGGTCTTAGGAATGGAACTCTTGTTAAGGGAGGAGAGGCTGTACAGTAATAAAAAACTCAACATTCATGCCGTTGTTATACTGTATTTACAAAGCACTAAAACCTAGATCAGAGAGAGAGAGATTATTATTATAATCAAAAAGAAGTGCTAAGCCACAAGGGCTATACAGCGCTGCAGGGCAGGAAGGAAGCGAGGGCATCAGGTGGCAAAAGGGAGATGGACGAGTAATAGGTTACGGATAACAGCGGGGTAGTGGATGGTGAAAGGGTAAAGGGCAGCAAGAGACTGAACTAGAAAGGGCTGAGGGGAGTGCGAAAAGTATCATCAGAGTTTGTGGAGTAAATCAGTCGTTGTCAAGAAGTCAATGAGAGAGTCAGGATTAAAGGAGGGTCCATCAGCAAGAAGGGAAGGTAGAGAGAGTAGTAGAATGAAGACGATGGAGGTAAATTCTGCGTGCTCGTTGATAGAGAGGGCAGTCTAACAGAATGTGGCTAATCGATACTGAAACTTGACACTGCTCACAGAGAGGAACAGGGTGCCTCGCCATGAGATACCCACGAGTAAGACGAGTGTGGCCAATGCGAAGGCGGGAGAGAGTGGTCTCCCAACCTCGGCACTGATGACAAGAAGACGGCCAGTAACCTATGCTCGGTTTAATAGAATGAAGTTTGTTACCGAGCAGAGTTGACCAACGTTGTTGCCAACGGGTGCGAAGGTGGGTAGCTATTGCAGCAATTATTATAATCAATTATTATTATATAATCAAAAAGAAGCGCTAAGCCACAAGGACTATACAGCAGCTATTGCAGCAAAATAGTCCAGAAATGGAACACCTCGATAGGAAATCGGTAGGTCATGTACTGCTGACCGCGCAGCAGTGTCTGCCTGTTCATTGCCCTGTACGTCGACATGACCAGGGACCCAACAAAAAACTATCTTTATGTTTGGTAGAGGTACGGCGTAGCCAAAGTTGGATACGGAGAACTAGGGGATGAGATGTATCAAATTTTCGTATAGCCTGTAGAGCACTAAGGGAGTCTGAGACTACTACAAATGATGACACAGGCATAGATGCGATACAAATAAGTGCTGCAAGAATGGCATACAGATCAGCAGTAAAAATGCTAGCTGAAGATAGTAAATGCCCCCGCACGACACTGTCCAGAAACACTGCTGCGAATCCGACACCGTCTGAAGACTTAGAGCCATCTGTGTACACAGCGGTGGCATGAGAATGGGAGTGGAAGTGATCAAGAAAAAGAGCGGGAAGCCACCGTAGGCAGTCGAGCTTTCGAGCAAGGGAGTGAGAAAGAACAGACCCAATTATTATTATTATAATCAAAAAGAAGCGCTAAGAAGCCACAAGGGGATATACAGCGCATGGGCAGGGTAGGGACGGAAGCGAGGGTATTGGAAGGCCGAAGTAGGGGGAAGATCGCAGGTTAAGAAACAGCGGGGCAGGGGAGTTCGGGGGTTAGAGGGTAGCAAGAGAGTTAAGTAGAAAGGGGCTGAAGGCATCAGAATTTGTGATTAAAGTCTGTTGTTGTCAAAAAGGTCAATGAAAGAGCCGTATGAAAGGGTGGGTCATCAGCGAGAAGGGAAGGTAAAGAGAGCATCGGAGCGAAGACGACGACAGAGGTAAATTCTTGCGTGCTCGTTGATAAAGTGGGCAGTCCAACAGAAGTGTGGCTGACTGATATTGAAGTTTGGCAATTCTCACAGAAGGAGCAAGATCGCCTCTCATGAGATATCCATGAGTAAGACTATATGGCCAATGCGAAGACGGGAGAGAGGAGCTCCCAACCTCGACACTGGTGATAAGAAGAGGACCCATAACCAATCCTTACTCGTTGAATAGAATTGAAAGTTTGTTGCCGAGAAGTAGAACCAACGTTGTTGCCAACCGTTGTGAAGGTGGAAGATATTCAGCAAACATAGTCCGTAAATGGAATACCTCTATAAGAAACTGGTAGGTCATTACTGCGTGGACCGCGCAGCGAGTGTTGTGCCTGTTCATTGCCCTGTAGCGTCCCACAATGACCAGGGACCCAACAAAAAACTATCTTTTATGCTTGTAAAAGATGCGCGTAGCCAAAGTTTGGATAACGGAGGACTGAAGGGTGAGGTGTATCAAATTTTTGATAGACTGTAAAGCACTAAGGAGTCTGAGACAACCACAAATGATGACACAAGTCATAGATGCAATACGGGTAGTGCTGTAAGGATGGCATATAATTCCAGCAGTAAAATTACAAGCCGAATGGATTAAATGCCCTTGTACGACGAGCGTCTATGTGATCCGGGAAACACTGCTGGCAGCGAATCCTACGCCGTCAGAAGACTTTTAGCAACTGTGTACAAGCAATGCTGAAGAATGAAGAAGTAAAGTGGTCAAGAAAAAAGAGAGTCGGGAAGCGACCGTAACATTTGGGCTTTCGAGCAAGGGAGGGAGAAAGAATCAGACTCGAACAGCTGGAACTATCCCAGGGGGTAGGAAAAGTGAGATGCTACATGAACCTATAAAGGTGGTAACTGAAGGGAAGACAAGAGTGAATGTAGGCTGAAGAGGAAAAGGGACCAGAGCAAACCAGGCGGCAAACGAAATAAAAATGTCAACTAGTATCGGTGACCATTCTATAAATGGAAGGATTGTGGTAGATCGTGAGAGCGTACATATAGCAAAGGCATGGGGCATCATCACGGCGATCAACAAGGAAGGAACATTCACTTTTTGTATAGAGGCTCTCACAGGGGAAGAGCGAAAAGCACCAAGCACAAACTAATCCTAGGTGATGGATAGAGTTGAAGGCTAAGAGAGTAGCAGGAGAGGCCGCGGAATAAATCTGGTCACCATAATCAAGTTTCGATAAACGAAGGCTGAATGTAGGTGAAGCAGAGTTCGTCAATCAACACCCCAGGAAAGATAGCAAGGGTGTTTAAGAAGGTTTCAGCCGGCTGTGACAAGTTTCCTTCAGAGAGGTAATGTGAGGTTTCCAGGATAACCGACGTCAAAGAGAAGCCTAGAAACCCCGACTATCCCGTTCGGGGATACGGAGCCTTAGAGATTCAAAGATGATCTGATATAATTGAAGCGTCTAGTGAAAGTAATTTGGCGAGTTTTGGTAACCCTAACAATTTAAAAAAACCCATCTGGTGCCCAAGTGGAAACACCGGTCGCCCGCATGCTTGGGAGAGAAACTGGCAATAAGGTGACATTCCGCGCCTGCACAAGCAATAGCGAAGTCATCACCATAGAGTGATGACCAAATATTGGGTGGAAGAAACAAGCCAAATCATTTATAGCAGGAGAAAAAGTGTTGTGCTTAGAACACATCCCTGAGGGCCAACCTTCAGCTTGGACGAAGTCGTGAAAGAACATTATTGACTCGAACACGGAAATGTCCGTCCGTTAAAAGTTCTTAAGGAATGCTGGGTAGATTAACTTGGAGGCCTAAGAAGAGCCTGGGCCAAAATATTCTACCTCCAATTGTGTCATATGCCTTTCAAGGTCAAAAAGTATGGCAATAACATTGATTATTCGCAAAGGCCATTACGAACATATGTATCCAAGCGTAGTAAGGGGTCTTTGGTAGAACGACCCTTACGAAAGCCATATTGACTACGGAGAGACTGTTGTCGTGTCTAAATACACATTAAAACGTCGATTTACGAGACGTTTCCATCACTTTTCAAACTGCACTATTAAGATAGCGATGGGGCGATAGTGGGAGCATCATGTTCCGTAGTACCCCACGGTTTTTGCGGAAAAGGAAGAACAATGCAGATTTCCACAGCTGGGGAAAGAACTCCTTGTGCCAAATTAAGATTGGAAAGAGTTTTAAGAGACTACAAGTGCCTGAAAACCGATGTAAATGTTTTAACATACAAATATAATGAATGTCGTCAGGCCCACGCCGATGATCGGCAAGCTGAGAGCGTGGCCTCCAGTTCTTGATGTGTAAAAGGCACATTTTACTGTCTCACTGAGAAAAGAAAAGTCCCAGGGTACTTTAAAAACTCTCTTGCAGGCTTTGAGGAAAGAAACGAGGGCATAGATTGTGCCCTCGGGAAATACGGACCAGAGACGGTGCCAAGTTCAAATGGCAACTTCAAGCAGTGTTTTGCTACATCAACACCAGCGACCCGTAGAAACCGGAAGCCCGGGTCAGGAGAGTATTTACCACTCAATTTCCTCACTATTTTTCCAGACTGCACCACTCATAGAAGAAGCAGAGTGATGGTGGAAACATTCTCGCCAACAAGTGCGTTTAGCTTCACAGAAGACACGGCTAGCGATCGCACGCCACTGCTTAAAATCAAGAAGTCTCTCAGCGGTTCTATTGTACAGTGACCTGCCCCATGCAGCACGTTTCAAAACGTACTGCACGAGCACAATCAGGAACCACCAAGGCATGCACTTCTGAGAATGCCTGCCTGAGGTTTTGGGGTATAGAATGGAGAAGCTGGCGGTATAAACTGACGTCGAGAAGACGGTGTGGAGGCTCATCAATGAGGATAAGAAGGAAACCTCACTATAAGCAGTGAGGTGTGAGTAAAGATCCCTATTTTTGCCCGATCAAACTGCCAGCGGGGCTACGGAAAGTGGTGAATATGAAGGAAAGTAAAGAATATCGGAAAATGATCACTGTCATGTAAGTCTGGTAGAA